TCAATGAATAGCGGCGAAGGAAAGGCTAAGCTTAAATCTATTCATTCCCAACACCTGTACATAGCTGTCGGAGTGTGTAAGTGATGGAATTCTAGACAGAGTTGCATAGTTGTTGAAAATGGAGCGTCTTACATCAAACATTGTACAAAAAGACACTTGTCCTCCTTGACCCTGTCCTGTCTTGAAGTTGGGATGGAGGGAGGTCTACTCTTTCGCTCCTTTCAGAGCAAAAGGAATGGAAAATTGTGTGTTTTCCCATGGGGTAAATATTGAGAGAGCAGAGATATAAACGTACGGAAGAAAGGCTTTTCTGAGCTGCCTGGGTCTCTGTTGCACTGCCAAAGGCCTGTGCGTCACTTGATCCATTGTTTAGTGTAGAGAGGTCTCGGTAAGCAAGCGGCTGCCTCCCTGCTCCAGCTGCAGCCTTTCTACTGTTTATGTTTGCAGGGCCCTTCGCCTTGAAGTGAGGCTACACAAGCAAAGCCTAGCCATATGTGAGCACTGGACCCGTCAGAGAAGTCACCGGCCTTTTCTTTTCCCTTTTTCGATCCATCCCTCTCTCTGAAACTCTTCCTTGTTTATCCTTTTTCTTCCCCACCTACCATTCTTTTGCCCTCTCTGCCTCTGTTCCTTTGTCTTGTTTGCTTTCCCTCGCTGACAGCGCAGCCCGTCCCTGACAGCCTGCTCCTTTGGAGAAGATGAAGGGTTGGAATTATCTTCTTGAGTTTCAAAGACCTCCAGCCTGAATAGGAGAGAAGTGGTAGGTATTATTACTCCTGTGAGAAATAATTGCCCCTAAAACTCCTCTGTGAGAATGGATCTCCCTGTGCCCAGCAACAAAGTTTGAGAGACAAGGTGGTAATTATGTCACAGAAATATTTCAACTAGTATAAATATTCTAATATTTATACTGGTGTGTCGTACTGACAAGCACAGCACATTCAGGAGATGGAAAACATTCAGAGAGAAAGCCACTGAGGGAAATATGGAGTCAAAAATGCACAGCGTATGTAATTGGCTATCGGGGTTTTATATCTTTCCAATAATTCACTCAAATATTTTTACTGAGGGTTCAGCATTATCCAGTGTTGGGGGGGAAATGGCTAACTTGATTCAACAATTATCACGTTAGATTGGACTTCTGAAGCAATGAGGCGATTGAGTTCCAGTCTGAAACTAAAACTCCCGGGTCAGCCTGGAAAATTATGCGTATGCGTGTATGTGTCTGAAGGTTAGTGGTCCTGACCTTGGCTCCTGGGTGGGCTGCGGTCACTGTGTGCTTGTCTTGGATCATCTCTGGACCCTTCTGTTTACTGAAACAACAAGCAAGCAGCGTCCAGGGAGGAGAGAGGAGTCACACAGGGAGCATCCTCAAAGGCAGCACCTCTCTCCTTTTCTTACCCTTGCTCAAACACACACACACACACACACACAAACACACACACACAAGCTGCATGCAGAGACTGTGTTCGCAGTCCTGACCACCCACATAATAAGCCATGGTCAACCCATTGAAATGAAAACGATGGCTTTCCTTTGACCCCTTTCTTAATGAATCTCTCATCTGCTAGAGGCGTTAGACATGTTGAAGCCAGTTTGACTTAATATTTGTGCTAAAATATGATCCGGCTGATGGTAAAACCATTATTCTGTGAGTGCAGGAGAGAAGCTCTCCCACATTGATGCTCTGTAATAGAAGAGAACTATCTTGGCTACCTATAATCGACTATTATGACAGTAGTAATATTGAGAACCTCATTTGATGTTAGAGAGGCTTTAAAACTGGTAAATTAAAAGGTGTCATAAATGTGTGCACTGGATTGCAGATCACCTCAGGTGAGGAAAGTCCCTGCTGTTGAGCAACCACGGAAAACAACTTTTGATTTCAGCTGTAAGTGACATACACACTGCTTAGACTGCGGCTTGAAAGGAGGTGCAACTATAGAAGTATTACAGATAACACACCTTTTGGAAATTCCCACTGGTGGAGAGTAGTGTCATTACATTGAATTAAACTGTAAATTTAATTAAAAGAGATTTTTGGTGGCTTGTGGCTTAATTTTGAATTTTGTATATAGATTTTCTTCTTTTAAGAAACTTTAATTACTTGGAAACGATATGCAGTAGTATTCTCCTGAGAGTAACTAGTAACTATGTTTAGTGTGATGTAATTGGTAACAACATATTGATCATTTAGTTTCTTCACTCACCAACATGCAGAGACTGATTTTGCTAAGTTACAGGCCTAGATCATCATGTGGAAATAACCTGACCCTTCATTAGTTTAAATAATGTGTGTGAGAGAGAGAGAGAG